AAGCCGGCCCTGCACGTGGAACCAAGCGGTCACGGGATGAGCGGGATGAGTAGTCGTCTCACACAGGACCATGTACAAATTGTACAGAGAGAGAGATGTATAAGAGAAGGATCGCTTGCAGGAAAGGGATATTGTATATACATGTGGAAAGGGCTGGATGGCCCAATGGAGGGCTTGTGGAAATTTTCGTGTAGTATATATGTGATGTGTGCTGCTCAAAAGAAAAGAGGAAATTGGATTGGATCTAGCAATGCACCCTGATGCTCCGGAACTCACTGGGGACCAGTCCAGCTCGCAATCTGCGAGCACGGGCACGGCGAGCCTGATGGGCATGAACATTGTCAGTCTGAACAGGGAGGTAGCTCACCTTTCGCTGCGCTTAAACTGGATCGTGGACCGCCTCCATGTACGACTCGTGGCGTTGGAGGATCAGGCCCTGGTCGCATTCTGTTTTCGAGCCTGGTCTGGCAATACCAGAAGGCGAGGATCGGAATCATGATGGCCGGATGCACACTTCGCGGAGAAGAAGGTGGAGAACAATCTGTGTGGATGTGGAGCCGGATCCATGGATGTGGAACCGGATTTTTATAATGTGTGGATGGGACGCCGGATCCATATATGGATGTGGAACCGGTTTTTTATAAACAGCACAGACCACTTCGTGCCACTTCGGAGGGGAAAAAGGCTTTTGGGCTGTGTCCGTGGAGAGAGAGGGCTGCGTGGCCCGAGAGTGCACCTGTCTAAATCGGTGTGTTTTATGTGTTACAAAAGTATATGTGTGCGTGTACTTTTAATTTGGTGCCTGTTTAATTATATTTGTACATGTAGCAGAAAAGAGGAAATCGTGCATGCTTGTGGAGGGAGAGGGCTGGATGGCCCGATGTATACACATATAGACAAACGATGCAGGTGGTGCATTGCTTTGTGGTGGCCCAAAAGGAGAGAGGAAAGCTCTCACACAGGTGTACAGGAACTGTTTCTTTTAGGACAGAACATGCACAAAGGAAAACCAAAGCATGCATGGAATTGCTGGAGTATCTCGGTTGGATTCCTTGGTGAAACTCGGCCGAAAGTGTCCAGAATCCTTTTATAAGTATGTGTATATGTATATATATATATACATACATCTATGTATCTATTTATTTACTTATAACCCTATATGTCTAGAACCCCGTGTAAAAACCCTCAACCCAGACCCTATATATGTATGGATGTACCTATATAAAGCCCAAAACAAGGCAGAAGGAATTGGAGGAGAAGTCCAAGCAACGACTAATGGCAGATCCGAGGGTGACTGCTTCTGAGATCCAAGCATGCCTGAAGAAGTACTTGGAGAGTGTCAACTCCAAAGACATTTGGAGTTCTGTGGTTCCCCCGGTTGGAGGTCCGAGGACATGGCACTGGAAGACAAGGCCTTGTGCGCGATGGATGGCAAAAACAGCTGGCTTGATGTTTGAATTGCTGGAAGTTGCCAGGAACGGCAAGATCCACTCAAGGAAGTTGTGCTTTGCCTTGGACGCATTGCTGGAAAGCGGAGATGTCAAGAACACGTCTGGGTCGGAGAAGGCTGCCTTCGTGCATCATGTTGACATTACGATCCGGATCTTGTTCTCTCATTTCAGGACTTGCAAAAGAAGCAGGAGCACCAGACAGAGTGTGCTAAGCAGCCTTCAGGGGACAGACCGTTGCAAGGCAGGGGAGGGGGGGGGGGGAGGACGGTCAGAACAAAAGGTTTGTGAAAATGTGTATGTATATATGTACATGTATATGTATATGTATAAATGTAACATATGTGTAGGTGTATGTATATATGGATGTATATATGTACGTATACGTGTGTATGAATGTCTGTTTGTCTGTCTGTCTGTCTGTCTGTCTGTCTGTCTGTCTGTCTGTCTGTCTCTGTATGTATGTATGCCTGCATGCATGGATGGATGTATGTATGTGTATGTATGTATGTATGTATGTATGTGTGTGTGTTTGTATGTTTGCAGGTCCAGAAGATGGTGGATGCTTTAGCGCTTCTGGACGACTGCGAGGAGGAGGACGATCATCCTTGTTTGGAGGACTCAGTCCAGATTTACATCGAGGAACAGGACAAGGACGAGGAGCAAAGCCTTGTCCCGAAAGCGACGGAAGCGGAAATGGACCAGGATTTCTTCCGGAGTGCGCAGCTGCTCGACATGGATGCGAACGAACCGGAACCGGATGTGTGGAAAAAAGGGAAGGTTGCTGGTTTAAACGTTAACACCACAAACCAGTCCTCCTCTTGCAGCCGAAGCTTCTGTCTGAAGGACCAGGAGATTTTGATGCTTGCAGTCAGACACAAACCGTCTGCATCGTTGCCGAGAAACTCGAAGAGCAAAGCAAGGGCACCGGCCACAGCCTTGCAGACTTCCGAGTCAGAGGGAGAGAGCAGTGAGGCACGGGAGATGGTCGAGAACAAGACCAAGAAGCAAAACAAGAAAAAACAAGAGAAGAATAACAAGAAGCATAGCAAGAAGAAACAGGAAGAGAAGCAAACGAAGCAAAGCAAGAAGAAGCAGGAGAAGAAGAAAAAGAAGCCAACCAAAGACACAAAGAAGAAGAATAAGAAGAAGAAGAAGCAGGACAAGAAGGATGAAATTGAGGAGAAGAAGGACCATAAGGAAAAGAAGGCACAGGCTGGAAAAAGGAAAAGCTTTGGAGGATACAGGATTACGTATGGTCCAGCAAGGCTGAGATTTGACGTCATGATGGAGGTGTTTTATGAAGTCCTTGTCCCCAAAGCAGCAACCCCCAAGGCTGCACCCTGGGAGGCCGAACGATGAAAGCGTTTGTTTTGTGCATGTTTTCATGTTGTTGTTGCTGTGCAGGCGGAATGGTACAAGTACAGCTACCACGGGGCGAAGCATCTAAAGACCAGGAAGGGTCACAGAAAGTTCTTCATGAAGAAAGCTCGTAAGTTTCTCAAGGACAAAGGACTCGCCTGAAGCTTGTGCCACGAAAAAGATGCTTGCTGGTGCTTGC